AGAAAGAAAGAAAGAAAGAAAGAAAGAAAAAGGAAGGAAGGAAGGAAGGAAGGAAGGAAGGATCCCAGGCTGGTTTCCCTTACTGACCCAGCCCAGGCCTCCCCCTGTCTGAAAATCCAACTTCATTCTGATAGCAGTCTGGGAAAAGAAAGCAGGATGCGAAGGACGAAGTCGTCAAAGCTTCCTCTTCTTTCCTGCTTCGCACGCGGAGCACCTCTGGGATTGTCCCTCGCTCGCCTCTGGGATTGTCCCTCGCTCTCAGCTGGGCCGGTTGCTGTGAGTGGTTTGACGGGGACAGTCCTGTCGGGGCCACAGGGTGAGAGAACAGGGAGGGTGATATCAACCTCAGTTTAACCCAGGCGGAATGAGTGCCCTGGAGGAAACTCCACTTTCTCTGGCCCTTTATTCATCTTTCTAAAGAGCGGACTCTTCTCCGTGCTCCCCTTGCCCATCTTCCCCGCAGGAGACAGGCTCTGCACGACTCAGGCTCCGCTCTCTTTGGTGGGGCAGGGCAGCTGCTCGCCCACTTAGTGGTATTTACTAATGGAGACCGAACCCACTTACGGCCCCAACCCGACCTGGGTCCCAGGCCCAACCTCCTCCTGAGCCCATTCCTAGACCTGGATTCCCCTCTGTCCTCCAGCCCGGCACCCAGGCCTTTCCGGGTCACAGGAGGGGAGGACATCTGTACTTTTCTTAGCTGGACAGACTCTGGGGGCATTTTCCTGCTCCCTCAACGTTGCTACGAGGCCCGAACGCAGTGATGGTTTTGGCTGACGGGAGGACTGCAGAGGGGCTGGATGTGACAAGGATGGTGTCCCCTACCTGCTTCCCGTACACCATCCATTTCCAACAAGAGGGACACTGACGGGGACTGAAGTGCATCCCATTCCACCTCTGCCCTTGGAGTTTACAAACTCTCATGCTAGAAAGGAACACATCCAGGAAGACCTTTATTTGAAAACAACATTGATTGTGCAACAGCTGCAAGGCTAAAGTCCTTTCTTCCTCCCCAGGACTCATGCTTCCAGCTCGACAGGTGGGCTGACGAGCACCTCCTGCTTGGGCAGACACTGCTCTCGGCTATTTTGGCAAGTTTAGGCCAAGTTACAATGTATCTGTCTTCCTGGCCGGAAGGAGCAACCGAGCTCGGGCAGAGGCTGAGGCTGACGAGCCTGCTCACCTTGGAGGCTCCGGCGTCTGGCAGCAGGTTATGCAGACCAGGCTTCGATTGTTTTAAGAGTCAGGCATGGCAGAGTTTGAAGGGTTCTGTAGGGCAGCGGTCCCCAACATTTTTGGCACCAGGGACCGGGGCTCCTATGAGAATCTAATGCCTGATGATCTGAGGCGGAGCCGAGGCTGCAAACACAGATGAAGCTTCACTTGCTCACCTGCCGCTCACCTCCTGCTGTTCCTAACAGGCCCTGGGGTTAGGGATCCCTGCTATAGAGCATCTGCTAGTGTTTGTGTTATGGACAGTTCTGCTCTAAAATAAATTGAAGTATTTGGATGAACTGAAGGTCGGAACAGGAACTTTCTTTCGGTTCTGTATTTGCGGAGTAGATTGTTCTGATCCGGAATCGAGATAAATCATGTTCCCTCTGGGCTGCTGAAACCGTTAGACATTTTAGAGTTTGCTGCCCTCTTGTGGTTCAGAAGTGATAAAACGATTGTCATTCTTTTGCAGATAATATCTCGCATCGGTTCAACGGTTGTGGAGCCACGGGGCAAAGCGTGCCTTTCTGACTGTTCGCAAAACCAAGTTCCGGGGGGGAGCGAGATCTCCTTGGCTTGCACAAAGTGGCTGCCAGGCGCCTTGGCCAGACATCGGGGACCCCACGCTGGGCCTCAGCAGTGTTTGAAAACGAGGCACTCCCCCGTGCGTGGCAGAGCTAGTTGATCAGCACTATTTGGCTCTGCCCACCGGCCTGTCTTCCCCTCCTTCCTTCCCTTTTCCTCTTCCACTTAGTGAGACTTATCTTCTCCAAAAACTCTCCTTTTCCAACCCCTAAGGCAGTTCTGCTCTGCCTCCCGTGATGGGCTGAAGTGTGTCCCCTCAAAACTCCTATGGGGAAGCCCTAACCCCGACTTTATCAGGAGTTAGGGCTTTGAAGAGGTGATGAAGTTAAAAAGAGGCTGTTCGGGTCGGGCCCCAACTGTATCTGACTGATGTCCCTCTAAGAAGGACATATATAAAGTAAAGACCGTGCACGTGAGGACATGGGCAGAAGGCAGCCATCTGCAAGCCCAGGAGAGGCCTCAGGAGGAAGCAGACCTGCTCACACCTTGACCTTGGATGTCCAGCCTCCAGAGCTGTGAGAAGGTACTTTGTGTTTAAGCCATTGTCTGATGTTTGTTGTTGGCGGCCCTGGCAAACACACCTGCTAACGAAACACTTATTTCTGAAGGGCACTTGTTGCACACTTAAGTTTGCAAAGACAAACACAGACTGTCCCCACCCCCCCACCCCCACCAGGGCCGGTTTCTGTGTTTGTCCCCAGGGGACCACAGATCAGCACTGAGCACGTCCCCTCTTCATTTTCGAGGAGGTCTATTTTATAGATGAAAAAATTCTTAGAAGTTAACTTGTCCAGGATCACTAGCAGGATTCTGCCTCTAAGTGCCATCTCTTTCTCTTTAGTTCAGATCAGGTGACGTGGACCAGAGAGGGTCATGGGACAGGAGCTAGAATCTCGTGACCGCCTGGTCTAAGGGCAAACCGCCAGAAGGCTGAGCCATAAACCTTGCTGGTATTTACAAATCCTGGTTTGGTTTCTTCCTTAACCTATTCAGAAAAAGCTCAATTCTTCTGAAAAACTCTCGTATATACTCCACGAGGCAAGACAGATTGTCACAACCACAAGCCACCCTGACCTTGAAAGGTCTCTAACTGGTACAGCTGTCTGGGCTGACAGACCAAGGGGAGCTCTAGGTCTGGTCTTTGTCAACAGTGACTCCTAACCACATTATTATTCTTTCAAAATAGTTTATTAGTAGCACATTTAAAATTAAGTAATTTCTTTCCAGAGAGAAGTTAAGCCCTGACGGACTGAAAAACTGGGCTGATGTCACAGCAGAAATACCGTTTCAGAGTCCAGAGATTAATAGGGTTACTTTCCCCGAAGGAAATAACTTGTTTCACCATGCTGACCGCACTGTAGCGGGGGGTTCCCCACAACAATGGACAGTATGAGAATGCACCAAGTCACGGTCAGTGTCATCCCCACACCGGCCAGCTCTCCCCCGTGTAGGAGAGGTGGGGGGCTGCGAGTCCCATCCCTCGCTGTGAGGACCCCAGGGCCTGCGGCAGGCGGAGGGTCTCTGAGCAGCCATGTGGGCCAGTGGGAAATGCCCAGAGCACAGGGGCCACGTGTGAGCCCAAGAAAACCCGCAGACCTGCAGGAGCCCCGCCGACTCCCTCAGATTAGGGAGCTCTGGATTCCCAGGGGGACCTCTTGAAGTATCTGGAAACTTCGATACTAGTGCGCCAGAGACCTGAACTTCCTGAGAAAAACCAGGGCATCTCCTCAGTTCCTTCTGCTCAAGGTTCTCGGGTCCGCAGGAAGCGGCGCCTCGCGGCTCACCCGCTCTGGGCTTTCAGATACCTCCATCCCGTCCTTCCCGCCTCGCCCCTGTCACAGAGAGCCCGGGGGCAGCTCTGTCACCAGGACGGAGGGCGGCCCCCCCCACTCCAAAGGCACTCCCTGCCCCACGGCAGTTTCCGTCATGTCATTTCTTCTTTCTAACCCAAGACAATGGGGATGAGTTACGAAAAAGCTCAAAGCTCGAAAAAGCTCAAAGCTCCGTCCTTCCCGCCTCGCCCCTGTCACAGAGAGCCCGGGGGCAGCTCTGTCACCAGGACGGAGGGCGGGTCTCCCAATTCCAAAGGCACTCCCTGCCCCACGGCAGTTTCCGTCATGTCATTTCTTCTTTCTAACCCAAGACAATGGGGATGAGCTACGAAAAAGCTCAAAGCTCGAAAAAGCTCCAAGCTCGGTAGTTTGTCCTTTTTGCTGGTCTCGTTTCGATTTTTTTTTTTTTTGAGACATTTTTCTCACATGATGGGCTGGAGTGGGGGTGGGCAGAGAAGCCTGTGCATATTCTTGGCTCTCGCCGGGTGGAATCTAATTTCTCATTTCTCCGTGAATGATCAGGTGAAGAGAGG